TGGATGTATCACTCCTCCTTGGACAAAACCAAGGCAAAGCACATATGGTCTCAGTACATTTCCATTCTTCTTTAGTTTCACTTGCTTCTCTCCCACTCTGTACAGTTTGATCCAGTCTGGAAGCTCCTTGGGGCAGGGAGTGGGACCTGTCTTTGTTGCTCCTGCAGAGAGTGTTCTATAAATAACTTTTCCACCTTACTACCTGAGATCTTTTTAGCTAGATATCCAGGGGATTAACCTTTGAACCTTCTGCATGCAAAGCTTTTCTGTTTAAGGAGTGGCTTCCTCATACTGTTCTAGCAGGACAGAGAACTGGATGGCTGAACTTGATAGCCGGTGTGGTGTAGCAGATAGCCTAAGGTCAGGGAGATCTGAGTTCAAATCTCCATTCTGCCATAAGGGTTTATGGACTCTGATCAGGTGGAAAAAGCACCATAAAAATGTTTTAAATAAAGAAAGCTGCTAACTTGCTTGTTCTCTCAGCCTAATTTACTTAAGAAGGTTGTTGTGGGGCTAAAAATGGTGGAGGAGAGGGGAACTTTTATACTTGGGGTGAAGGGTAAGATAAAATTTGAATACACTAAAGGGTGTGGCCCTTAGAAGAAACTGGCTCTCACCACTATGTATGTTGAAGAGGACAGTACTCAAAAGTAGAGATGAGAGTAGGAAAGAATGGGGGGGGGGGAAATAGAGAGTGAAGCCAATGGGAAACCTTCCAGATGCAAGATGCTAGGTGGGAGAGTAAAACTCAGTGTGCATGTGATCTAGCCTTCTCTGTGAAGAGTGACAAGAGATGTTTGTTCTTAATCCTGTACTGTGCAAGCTTTCACCCTGACATCTTACTGCTTGAAATCTCTGGCAGGGTGTATCTGGACATCTGCCCCCCTCCATGCTGCCTAGCTTTAAAGTTTAATTGGGGCTATGAGTGACATTAGCATGTTGTCCTATGAATGGGCTGTGACATTAGCATGTTGTCCTATGAATGAGAGCCAGTTTGGTGTAGTGGTTAAGTGTGCGGACTCTAATCTGGGAGAACCGGGTTTGATTCCCCACTCCTCCACTTGCACCTGCTGATGTGACTTTGGGTCAGTCACAAGCTCTGGCACAGCTGTCCTTGAGTAAGAGCAGTTTGTGTCAGAGTTCTCTCAGCCCCACCCACCTCACAGGGTGTCTGTTGTGGGGAGGGGAAGGGAAAGGAGTTTGTAAGCCGCTCTGAGACACCTTTGGGTAGTGAAGGGCGGGGTATAAATCCAATCTCTTCTTCTCTTCTTCTTCTTCTGTGGAGATGTCAGTTCAGCTACACACTCTAGAGCAAAGCTGGGTGACATTGTGGTTCAGTCATTTCTTGTTCTGCAGGTTCAGCAAATAAACAGAAAGCGATCCATCCCATGGGCCTTTGGGGCGGGTGGCTGCTGCAGAGCTTGTTTGAGATTTTCCCTTGGGGTCCAGGCCAAGATATTTTTTTCCCTCTGAAGGCCTTGTTGGGAGCTGTGATTCTTGTTTGCACCCAAATATTTTGCCAATGGAAATTAAATTCCATGCCAGCAGCAAAACACAAAACAACTTTGTGTACCATTTCTGTACTTGGTCGGTGTCTTCTAAGGAGGGGTGAAGCAAAGAGTGTCTGGGGACTTGGCTCAGAGATGGAGATTTCCATATGAGGCAGACTCCTGAACACTGAGACCCATTCCCAGTTCACCGCTGCTTTCAGAGAGTCCCAGATCAACACTGGTAAATCTTGCTGCAGAATAATCAATCCAGAACCACTGCCAAGCGTTGCCTCTCTACTCATTGTTATCACTACTCATAAAGAGCTAATCTGGGGGCAGTGTATCTTGTATATGCAATCCCTGAGTGCTTGCTGGTCCCCACTGCTTCCCTCTTGCTGTCCTTCCAAACCTAATCTTTGGCCTATCCAGGAGATCTGGGAATCCTTGTGGTGGTGTGTTTCCCCCCCCCCCAGTTCCCAGCACTCTGCTCAGTCACTCATGGCTGTTTCCTTCTTCTACAGGGTTACCCTGGATCTGCAGGACAATCACCAGGTGCTCCCCAGGAAGGCTATCCAGGCAGCCAATATGGAGGTGGGCCAACTCCTGGGGCCCCCTATGGAGGACCAGCACCCGGTGGTCCATATGGCCCACCATCTAGTGGAGGACCGTATGGCCACCCAGCCTCTGGCCCCCCAGGGAATATGTATGGAGGAGGCCCAGCACCAGGAGGGCCTTATGGGCAACCATCTACTAATCCATATGGTGCCCCTCAGCCCAGACCCTATGAGGCAGGAGGTCCTGGCGGTGAGTGCTTAAGTATCTTTAGGTGTTAAGGTGATCAGCTGGATTGGTGGCCATTGTATGACATAATCATGGTGAAGGCCTGTAGTTTTGTATGTTGGCAAATATTGGGATATGGTTGTGAATGCTCCAGGAGTTATCCAAACTAGCACAGAGGTTGCCACTTCTTGCCAGACTCTGTGTGTGTTTTTTTCCAAAAACAATTTATTAGGATGTAATGAAAAAAGTTCAAACATATATCAAAGCTTATACATTTATATATCCTTCCCTCCTCCCTTTCTCCCCCCCCTTCTCGGCTTCCCACAGTGCTCCAACCTCCAGCCCAATTCTTAAATTTTTTCCTACCTCCATTTTGTCAGACTCCTCCTTGCATCATAATAAGCACGCTTTTGAAGAAAGGTACCTTATTAGAGCTGAAGGTGCATAACAGGATCACTGTTCAGAATGAGGGATAAAAGCAACGGCAAAGCATATAATAAACATTCAAACTACTATGGGCCAATTGCGGGGTTTCCCACGCACGCCCTTAAGCCTGAGAACTAACGGTCCCAAGCCTCTCACGTTATCTTCTTCTCACGGTGTTTAGTGAGAGCCTTCCTGCACTAACAAGCTCTGCTTCCACCTGTGGCCTTGAGCTAGATAATTGTTTCGGCGAGCTACCTAGACATACGCATCTACGATTCTACAGGGATAGAAGCAAGCGCACACACATACATCGAATGAAAACAAAACATTGGCAGCTTGCTGACACCTTTCTCCTTATTCACATCCACAGGTAACTTATCCTTCAACTGTTATTCTTATACATTTATCTATTTTCTACTATCCTTTAATTTTCAATAATTCTCAAAGCAAAGTAAATTGTCTTTTACATCAAAGTATTTCTCCAAATAGTCTTTAAAGTCTTTCCAGTCTGCAAAAAATTCTTCTACTTCCAAATTATTAAGTTTCCTTGTCATTTTATCCATTTCAGCCATAAAAAGTAATTTTTTAATCCATTCCCCAATTTCAGGGACCTTATCTTGTTTCCAACATTGAGCATATGTCATTCTGGCAGTCGTGATCATATACCACATCAATGTCCTTTTTGTCATATTGACTTCTTCCATTTTAAGTCCCGCCAGACCCTGTGTTTTGAAGACATTGAAAGCGCGTAAAGGAGCTTTTCTCCTCCACGATAGTATCAAACACAGACCTAGTGGTCTAAATCCACAACTGCATTTAGACATTTACCAATGACTGTGATGTGTTGTGTGAACAACATATGCTATATACCTGGAGTTGCTTATCCAAATGTCTTTTTTCATCTTAATTATCTTGGTGATTTTGTCCCCTCACAAATCTTCTTTGAATACCAAGATATGGGGGGAAGGGCCAGAGCCCACATTTCAGTCTCTCATTTCATGTATTTCAACAAAAACCTGAACCCCTTCCCCCTTATCTCATCTTCTGGATTTCAAGATCTGCTTGATTTAGAATTTCGACTTTAGATCTGAACATTAAGAACCTGTTTCTAATTTGGGTATTTAAAATTCTGCATTCACAGAGAGGATTAGAAACAAGAAATGCTATAAATTTTGTTAATCTATACCCTGTGTTTACTTGGTTTATCTTAAGCAAAACAAGAAATTGGGAACTTGAAGTTGTTAGAAATACTTTTCACTAGGATGAGGTTAGGGTTGTAAATAGTCTTGTACTTGTCCCTTGTGAGAAGTAATAAACTGGTCCAGGTTGGGAGTTTCTGTAAATTAGAATGATGTCCCCCCCACCACCACCACATCCCCTCTTTAGGCCATATCTGCCTTGCAAAGCCGTAACACAAATACGTGTGGGCTAGCAAAAAGTTTTGTGGGCTAGCAAGTTTTAGCTGGATATCGTGAAATAGTGGTTATGTTTTCTGGATGTTTGTTTGTTATTTACTAGGTTAGCTTTTTGTTCTGTCTTCTGCCAAGATCCACAGGTACATGGTCTTTTTTCCTGCTCTTTTTGTCTTTGCAACAGCCCTGCAAAGTAGATTAGGTTGGGATTTGCATCCAGATCTCCCTGATCCTGTTTTGGCCGCCTAACCATTTCAGCATATCTCAAAATGAACACGATTGCTGGAACTGCTGGGACTTGCAAGAGTCGCTGAGACTTGTCTCTGTTACTTGTAAAAAGTACTGTAAGGAAGCCAGCCATCTATCTTTGGCATCTATCACTTAAGGGACTCTTGGAGTGCATCTAGAGCACTTGACGCATGCTTTGTGCTGCGGAATCGAAGCGGCCGTCGTTAATTGAATTATTCATCTCCATTTAGGCTGGCAGTTTAGAAATCTGTCCCCATTGCATTATTTAAGGCTGCAAGGTGGGAGCAGAAAAGCACCGAAGCTGCCGCCCCGAGCGGCAGATATAAAACT